TTCAAACACACCGCACCTGTACGGGAGCACACAGAGGGAAAGCCCGGGACCCTGGCCCTGGGCCCAGGGACACCACTTCTGTGTCTTGTCTTATCCTCACTCCTAGTGTCTGGTGCCTCCCGATGCGGCCACACAAGCTGAGGGTTCCGTTCGCACACGTGAAGGGGTCAGCGCGTGTATGGGGAAATCTGTTTTGTAGATGTCTCCAAGGATGTGGGAGACAGCAGGAGGCCTCTGCTGGCATTACCTTAAAACCTGGCCAGACACATGGCCAGTGGCAGCAGGGCTCGGAAAGCTGACCTTAAAGCCCCAGGACTGTCACTAGGGTCTCAGAGTTTGTCCAAACCAACCGCAACTTCACCTGCCTATCAGAGACTTCTGCGACTGACGCGAATTCGACCCCAGGTGAGGCCGGTGAGGACCCGGACAGTCTGGACATGTGGGTTGTGCCCCGCCAGCTTCCGCCGGGTCTGCGCACCTGCCAGCCTCAGCTTCCCCTTCAGAAAGGCTCACGGAGCTCGGCGATGGAGAAACACGCGCTGAGCTGCCCTTGTGGGCTCACAAATCACAGGCCAACCACTAACCTGCAGAACCTGGCGCTTCGAGCCTGGACACCGATTCTTCCCCCAGCCGCAGCCACCCTGGCTTCCAGGGTGCCGCCCACTCCCAGCCCAGGGCCCTCAGTGCCGCCCACTCCCAGCCCAGGGCCCTCAGTGCCGCCCACTCCCAGCCCAGGGCCCTCAGTGCCGCCCACTCCCAGCCCAGGGCCCTCAGTGCCGCCCACTCCCAGCCCAGGGCCCTCAGTGCCGCCCACTCCCAGCCCAGGGCATTTGCACTCACTGCTCTGCACACCTGGAACACGCTGAACCCCTGGTATGTGCCTGGCTCCCCTGCTTCAGATTTCCGCTCCAGGACACATCCCGGCTCCCAACCCCTTACCTCTGCTGTACCACCCTGTTCTGCTGTTGCTGCTCATTTTTTTTCCTGCGATGAAATACACACACACATGCCTGACTGCCTGTGAGCGTACAGTTCAGCAGCATTAAGCTCACGCACAATGGGCCTGGCATTCTGGGATAGTGGGCTAACTATGTGCCACCTGCTACTCCAGCCAGCACCCTCGTAATGCACCTGGGAAAGCAGCAGGCGATGGCCGGAGTGCTTGGGCCCCTGCACCCACGTGGGAGACCTGGAGGAAGCTGCTGGCTCCTGCCTGACCAAGCCCCAGCCATCACAGCCATCTGGGGAGTGAACCAACAGACGGAAGAGCTCTCTCAGTTTCTCTCTGTAACTCTGCCTTGCAAACAAACAACTCCATCTTTACAACCACAAGGAAAAAGCTCATGGACTGTGTGTGCAGCCATCTCCAGACCTTTCTCCCGCGTCTCCCCTCGCACTGTGTACCCACTCAACAGCTCGTCCGCCCACCACGCTCCCTTCCATCTCCGCACACGCGCACGTTCACGGCTCCCTGTGCAGGCAGCATTACTGCTGAGCAGCCTCTGCACCCAGCCCACGCCGCTCAGCACCGTGCTCTCAAGGCCTCCCCGGGGGGAGCACGGTCAGAACGTCCTTCCTGTTCAGGGCCACTGCGCCAGGTGTGCCCAGTCCACCTGCTGCTTCCCTCACCCGTCTGCACACAGGGGCAGCTCCCACCTCTGGGTCACCGTGACCAATGCACACGTTCAAGTCCCTGCCCTCGACTCTCTGGGGCACGTGGTTTCCAGGGGAGGAGCCAGATCCCATGTCAGCCCTGTTTAGCTTTCTGAAGACCCACCATGCCACACACACCGCAGCTGCACCCTCTCACGTCCCCTCCAGCAGCACACAAGGCTCCTGCCTGGCCACCTCCACGCCCACACTGGTTGTCTTGTGTCCCCCTCACCCTCATACCTGTCAGACCCCTTGGTTATTCAGACTGGCCAGTCCCCAGGGAAGAACAGGACTGTGGCCCCTGCAGCTTCCCCAGCACTCAGAACACCGCTTGGCCCAGAGCAGGTGCCCCAGGGATGTGCTGCACAAGGAATGAAACACCTGAGGGCCGGCGCTGTGGCACAGTGGCTTAAGGCCCCGACCTGCAGCACTGGCATCCCCTATGGGTGCCAGTTTGAGTCTTGGCTGTTCCACTTCCAATCCAGCTCCGTAATGAGCCTGGGAAAGCAGCAGAGGATGGCCCAGGTCCTTGGACCCCTACACCAACATGGGAGACTCGGAAGATGGTCCTGGCTCCTGGCTTCAGATTGGCCCAGCTCTGGCCATTGTGGCCACTTGGGGAGTAACCAATGGATGGAAGACCTCCCTCTCTCTGTCTCTACTTCTCTCTGTAACTCTTTGCAAGGAATAAAATAATTTTTTTAAAAGGGGGTGGGGCGGCACTGTGGCATAGTGGGTAAGGCCACCACCTGCAGTGCCAGCATCTCATATGGGCACCAGTTCAAGTCCTGGCTACTCCACTTCTAATCCAGCTCCCTACTATGGCCTGCGAAAGCAGAAGATGGTCCAAGTCCTTAGGCCCCTGCACCCACATGGGAGACCGGAAGAAGCTCCTGGCTTCAGATCGGCCCATCTCTGGCCGTTGCAGCCATTTGGGGAATGAACCAGTGGATGGAAGAGCTTTCTCTCTGTCTCTCTGCCTCTGCCTCTCCATAGCTCTGCCTTTCAAATAATAAACAAATAAACCTTAAAAAAAAAACAAACAAACAAACAAAAAAAACCTGCATCTGTATTTCAGCAACACTGACAGGCACTGGGGTCAGTCAAACACAGCAACCGCCCAGCGGCCTTCAACTGTGGGCAATTCGGGAAATCCCCATATTCAACAGGCGCTAGCTACCGCGGCGTACACCCTCATCAGCGCACCCCTCAGACACGGTGACAATCAGAAGGAATCTTAACAGCGACACTACTTGTGTCACTGACTTCAAGCCTCAGCTGCACTCATCAAAGCAGGCAGGCCAGACTCTGAAACAGCAGAAATGAACTTGAAAAGCGCAGCACTTCTGGTTCAGACAGCCTGCAGATGCAACGTGAACCGTCTGAAAAGATGAAACCAACAGCAAATGAGATGGGACACCGGCCTTGTGCACACTCCCTAATTAGATGTGCCCAAGGACAGCCTGACCCAGAAACCTAACTTCAGGCCCAGCATTATTTTGGTGGTTTTTCCTGTTGTTCATATTTGGTGTGTGTTTGACTCAGTTTGTTTCTTAAGAGCTGCCTGTGAACGAATCAGATAGAATTTCCATGAGCTCACGACACGGGAGCTGCGGGGCCACCACCGGGCTGCAGGCTCCCTTCCCGTCCTGTCTCCCTCGGAGACAACAGGTCTTTCTCAAGGGCACTGAGACACTCCGTCTCACCCCTGAAACACAGCAGCCAGTGCTTCCCGAGGGCAGCCCCACCGTGCTAAGGAGTGACTCCACCGTCCACCCGAGGCTCTCAGAGGCCGGAGCCACTCAGAGAACGGGACTTGCCCTGCCCCGTCAGACAGAAGCCTTGATGGGATTTTCTGCTGTGATTTGAGCCAAGTGCAGATCAGACTGTGTGCAATGCACACACACACACACACACGAAGGAATCCCTGGAAACCGCGCCACACCAGGGGCCCAGAGCAAGCAGAGACAGAAGCAGCGCTCCGACCCCAGGGTGCACTTCGACGGCAGGCCAGCCAGACACGGAACCCCTGCAGCACTCCTGGCGGGTCTGCTGTCTCCTTTCACTCTCCCCGTGCAGGCTTTCAACCTGTAGCTTTCCAAACAGAACTCAGCCTAGCACCCAACGCATCCTCAAACCCAGGTCTCTGGCCACATCACTTCCTTCTCACCAAGGGCCAAAGCTGTGATTGCATCACGGGTGGACATACGCCAGTCATTTCACCGGGGCAGTTGTTCACCATTCTCCCCTCCCCCCTCAGGGCTGGTGAGGGGCACAGCAGTGGTCCTGCTGCCCTCCCCCACTGGCCGCCAGACCCGGGCCTGCCCTCTGCACCTGCTTCTTCACCTGGACTTACGGGATCTCGCTGAGGAATGGCCCTGGGCCTGGCCCACAAGTACTCAAAGCCTTACTCCCAACTATTTTTAGCAACCAGTGCGACAAGAGTGGAGGGGCCAGTTTTTTCTCCAGCCCGTCGTGGTCTGAAGGCAGAAACCGGACCCCATGTGGAGCCCCGGGAGGGCCGGCACAGCCGTAAACAAGAGGACTCCAAGGAGGAGCCAGAACTCGGGCGCCCACTGCACCCTGGCTGCACCAGGACCCCTGAAGATCTTATCGGCAGGAAACAAAAGCCCTGCCCCACCATAACGAAGCGTCTGGCTTTTGTTTCCTAATTAGCGAAGCCCAAAGATTGTAGCCCAGGGAACGGCTAAATATTTGGAAGGAAGGTTCAAGACGCTGGTGAGACCCAGCCACCTACACGGCGTCTCCGCAGCCCTCGACCCCGCCGGGACCCAGAGCAGGAGAAAACGCCGGGAGAAACCTCCCTCTCTCCCGGGCTCGCAGGCTGACCATTTTGGGGAAAACACGGGCGCTGTCGTGTGGACACACAAACCCGCCGGCCCGCAGCTCCCACCCACCACGGGGCCGCGGGTCCCGGGCCAGCGGGGGGCTTGGGCCAGGGCCCCCGGCCGGCCGGCCGGCCGCAGTGTTTTGCTTCCAGAAGGAACTTCCTCTTTTCAAGCTCTAACTCTCAATTCGCCCGCAGCCGCTCTCCGTTCTTGCGGTCCAGCCCACTCTGGTGGAGCGCGCGCGCGCACACACACACACACACACACACACGCACACACACACGCACAGCGACGGGGAAAGGCACTATTTTTGCAAGAGGCAGTTAATTTTGGGTTACATCTCTCCGCAGACGAAGCGCACGGCACCCTTGCAAAGGGAAGCCGCCAGCGCCGCCCGGGCCACGCCGCCCCCTCCGGAGCGTCCCCAGCCCCAAAGCGGCGACCGTGACCTCCCCACGCCCCACCTCCTAAAACTCACCCCGGCCCCGCAGCACTCACCTGACCCAGGTCAGGCACCGAGCGGCCAGAACACGCGCAGCCAGCGGTGCGGCTCTGCTCCTCCGCGGTCAGCGCCTACACCCTGGAAAGACAGAGGGCGGAGCGTGAGACCCCGCGGGCAGCGCTCCCCCAGGAACGCCCCCTTCCCCGGGAAGACCCCGAGCGCGCAGGCATTGGGGAGCGCCCACGGGGCAGGACCGCACGGCCCCGCGCCAACTCGGGGCGCGCGGGGGTCCCACGCGCGGAAGCGTCCGGAGCCCCCCACCCCGGCCAGGCACTCGCTTCCCCGCGCCGAGGCCGAGACGCGAACCCCGCATCCCCGCGGGGCAGAGCTGCGCGCTCGTCCGCCTCTGAAAACGCTCCCCAGGGGCGCGCGGCAGTTTTAGGAAGCTGGCTGCCTCGCGTAGGACACCCCCACGGCCCCCTCCGAAAACACACACACACACACACGCACAACTATTTCCTGCAGCTGCTGCCTCAGTGCCCTGCTCGGGGCGGAGGGGCGCCGTCCCGGCCCAGAGCGGGGAGCCCCCCGAGCCACGCACCGGGGTCCAGGGCACCGGGGGCCCTTCAAGACTCCCACGAAATAACAGCCAAAAAGCCCCCACGTGCACGCCGAGCGCGCACAAGCCCACCAGAACGCCCCGGCAGCGGGGCGAAAACTTGTGCGCGCGGGGGTCCAGGCCCACGCCCCGCGGACCTCCGCCCACCCCGCGCTACCTGGTGCCCGGGGAGCCGCGGCGCTCCGGCGAGCCGGCACGAGGACCCGGTCAGCGGCCGCAGACCGAGCCCATGTCTGCGGGGCGAGCGCGTTCCGCTAGCACCGAGGCCAGCCCTCGCCGCTCCTCGCTCGGCGCGCTCCTCCCCGCCACCTCCGCCTCGCCTCCGCTCGCCGCCCGCCCCGGCCAGCCCGAGGAAGCGGCTCAGCAGCCCAGGCACATGCTTACTGCGCCGGGAAGCGGCTGCCGGCGCCTTATATAGGCCGGGGAGCTCCCTGGGCAATGTAGTCCGCCTACCGGGTCGCGGCGGCGCCTGGGGCGGGGGAGGGACTACAAGTCCCAGCATCCCCCGGGGCCGCGGGCTGAGCCCCAAATAGACGCGCGGCGGGGGGGGCCGGGGCGGGGGAGCGCCCCTGCGGGGGCGCCCCCGGCGACCGGGCCCCGGCCCTTGGGCTGGGGCCCCCCAAAAGCAGGGGCCCCCTCCGGGAAGGCCCCCCGGCCCCCGTGCCGTTGCCTTCCCGGGAGCCTGGGCGTCGCCGGGGCTTGGCTCTATCGGAGCTGCGGGAAGTTTTGCTGGCCATTCCCCGCCACGGGCGCCCGGGCCCCGGAG